TGTATTGCTGGGTAAAATAATCAATGTTAAATGATGAAACATTCGATTTTCAATAGATGATAAACTCTATTGAATCTACTGGATAGTTAATGAATAAAAAGCACGTTTTTGCACAAAAATAGCATTTTTTTGTGAAATCGCTCCTCTCGTTTTCCTCTGGAGCCACTCATATTTCCATCTTGGGTTTCCATATTTAGCAGAACAAGTGTTTAACATAAGCAGGATTTAAGCCGTCATTTTAAGGGGATCACGTACAGTTTCAGACCTTACGCATACAGAACATTAGAGTTCTTCTGAACTGCATTTACTTTTCTTAAATATACATTATACATTCATAAATTCATCCCGCAGGCCTATTTATAAGTAAACTGCATAAAAGCTGTGTGTGATTTAAGGTTTTCACTGTAAATGTTTTGTCTAATGACCTAAAATATGTGCTTCTGACTGAATCAGTCCTTTTTTCATGTAAGTCAGATCATGTAATAAAAGGAAAGATAAACCAAATTTGAAGTTAATAAACAATGATTTTATTTGAATAACCTTACAGTTAACGCATTAAAAAAATCATGGAAATATTTATGCCTAATTTTTCATTTTCTAGAATGTCTTTTTTTTATTTTCATGCAATCTCTCAAATGATTTATGAATGGTTGGACAACATAGACAGCATCTTGCAAATCGGATTTTGTGTTAGTGTAAAAACAGGCCCAATGCTTAACTTTAATACGCTGCACATTTCATTTGACATCCTGGCTATTTCCAGTCAGGACATCTTCGTAAATTGCCTGAAATGATTTTGTGATTGTATCTTGTCATTGACAGGACATGATGTTCTCTGTGTTTCCGAGCACTTCTCCTCTGCATGCTCATTAGATTATAGTGAACGTGTGGATTCAATTACATTTGAGGAGAGTTGCTGCAGAATATTCCACGTCTCATTCGATCCAATTTTCGTGCTGGTGTTGCGGATGTATTAACGGAGTAGTTCACTTTAAAAAAAAACTTTTGCTGATAATTTACTCACCCCCATGTCATCCAAGATGTCAATATCTTTCTTTCTTCAGTCGAAAAGAAAGTACGTTTTTTGATGAAAACATTCCAGGATTTTTAATGGACTTCAATGGGAACCAAACGGTTCAAGGTCTAAAAAGAGAGTTTCAGTGCAAACTGCAAACTGTTCAAAGGGCTTTAAATGATTCCAGACGATGAATAAGGGTCTAATCAAGCGAAACGATCACTCATTTCAAAAATAAATAACAAACTTTAAGTTTTATAAGCACAAAGTCAATTATATGGAGAAAAATCCTGGAATGTTTTCATCAAAAACCTTAATTTCTTTTCGACTGAAGAAAGAAAGACATGGACATCTTGGATGCCATGGGGGTGAGTAAATTATCAGCAAAGTGCCGGAGACATCGATGCACTGCTCAGGATGCTGGAAATGCTTAGTCCAGCATGTTGAGGAAGCCTCCCTAGACTTGTGTCCTACAGTAAATGAGCTTCAGCGCTGATATATTTGGCTCCTGCTGAGTGTGACTGTGACCGTGAGGAGAGAAACAATAGTGCTGTTCTGGACCAGATCTCAGTCCAGACATTTCTGCTGATAACACTGTTACACTTATATTTATATGTCAAACTTTCAGGAATTGGAGCCAAAATATAATGCAGCACGTGCAACATTGACATCAATAAGAGACGTTTTATAATAGAATGATTTCATAAGGATCATGGGACACTAGGAATAAATTACATTTCGAAAATATATTCAAAAAGCAATAGGTTCTTTAAAATGTTAATTATATTTCACAATATTACTGTTTCTACTGTATTTTTAATCAAATAAAGACTGTCAAAATCATTAAAATACTGCATTAAAATCATTAAAACAACTAATTAATTAATTAAAAAAACTATAAAATGAATAAATACTTAACTAAATAAAAATATCAATTGTCTAGAAACTGCTAATTGTGTGTACAATTATTATTATATATAATTTTTATTATATATAAATATTTTTATATTTTTATAAATATTTAAATATTTTTTTCTTAGATATACATGCATGTGTGTGTATATATATAAAGAGTTCAGATGCAAAAGCCTCTAAGTGCCATTTGACATTTTCTTCTAGAATGATCATTTTTATCAAGCTTTAAGTTCAGTGATTTCACTTAAATGGCAATGAAGATTACCTATTAATTGTTATTTAAGTGAAATTACTGAACTTAAATATACAAGCTTGATAAAAATGGTCATTTTAAAAGAAAATTTCAAATGGCATTTAGAGGCTTTTGCATCTGAACTCTTCATATATATATATATATATATTTATATATATGGTAACACTTTACAATAAGGTTCATTAGTTAACTACATTAATTAACATGAACTAATAATGATCGTCACTAATAAAGCATTTAGTAATCTTTGTTAATGTTAATTTCAACTCTATTAAAATCTTGTGAACATTAGTTAATGCACTGTGAACTAACATGAACAAACAATGAACAGATTTGTATTGTTACAGATTTGTATAACACATGTATTGTTCACGGTTAGATCATGTTAGTTAATACATTAGATAATGAACCTTATTGTAAAGTGTTACCATATATATATATATATATACAAAATAATTATACACAGTGCACCCACATTCCACATATATTATGTAATATTTTTTTTACTTTTATTTTGGAGGCGATTAATCATTTGACAGCCCTAATATACGTATATACATAAATTATAGTCAATAGTTTAAAATTGTACTGTCTTTTCCATTGTAACATTAGCAAAGCATTATTGCGAAATGTTAGCTTTATAATCAGTAGAAATGATAGTTGCAGGATGAAACCCAACAGGAGGGCTGAATGCTCTTCTTGAGCTCGGACCGAGCACGACTCGCTCATTTGCACTATACAGCAGGAGAAGGTGAGATCGGGGAGCTGAATCTGAAGGACTGAAGAGGCGATGGCAGCTTTCATCTGCTCTCTGATGCCAACACTACATTACTCAGAGGGAGACTATCCTGAGCTGGAGGGTGTGATCATGGATAAATGTGGTGAATCAGACCCAGAGGTCAGAGGTCACAGCCTGTGCCTCTCTCTCCACAGGCTTAGCCCTGTTCAGCTGCTGTTTTTTTGCAGGCCGTCGCACGTGGACACGCACAGCCAAACTGTCCACATGGACTTTTTTATTTTTTTTATCCAATACATCCTCGTGTCCTTCTCATTCAGTCCCAAAGCCCCTTTAGTGATGAAAGGATACAACAACAACAAAAACGCTCCTGATGTGTCTGCCGCACTGAAGGATTATTACGATGTTTATGGTGTCCGTATGAAAGCTTGTGGCTGACATGATAGAATGCGTCTGATCCGTACAGATAGTATCTGGACGCTGATTGAGACGCGGGATCCGACGGGACAGAGTTTTGAAGTGCGGATGCGGAGGGGAGATACTGATATGAGCGCGGGCCGAATATATATTATCTAATAATGACAACACACAGTATTCTGTCACTGGAGATCTAAAGCGGTGTGTGTGTGTGTGTGTGTGTGTGTGTGTGTGGAAATGGGACCCTGCAAACGGAATACAAACATACATATTATCGTTAACTAAAACTACAACTAACACCACAAAAAACATGTTCATTACTTGAAATAAAATAAACACTACTGAAATAAAAGCAACATTTCTCCTTTTCATTTAGTTTAAGTACTAAAATAACTAAAATTAAAAACTATTTATATACTGTATATATATATATATATATAAACTAAAATAAACAAGAACACAACAGAATTACTAAAACTTCAAAGTTAAAATACAAATATTATAAAAAAAATATTAATAATAATTTTATTTAAAAAATATTTACAAAAACATGTAATAGTTAGTTGCACTAAAATAACACTGGGGTGAACGACCCGTAATTCTCCCTCGGGCAGATTGAGAAACTTAATTGCAAAACATTTAATACAATATTAATATCAAAAGTTATATATTATTTAATGGACCTGTCCTGAGCTAACATGAAATAATACTGAATAGTTTTATTTTTTATCAACTAACATCAACAAAGATTAATAAATAATGTAACTAATGTATTGCTCATTGTTAGTTCATAGAAGTTAATTAATACATTACCTAATGAACGTTATTGTAAAGTGTTACCAAACTAATCCATGAATTTACATGCCTTTTACTGGATAAGGGTTTTTAAAAATAATTTTCAAGATTGTACACACAAATAGCAGTTTCTAGACAATTCATATTTTTATTTAGTTAAGTATTTATTAATTTTATAGTTTTTTTATTAATTAAAAAAAATATATTTTTTAAGATGTTTTTTTTTTTTCATTTTAAACTTGATATAACTTTATGAATTGTAATCATTGAATCATATTCCCCAAAAACTGATGCCTGATATATGGTAATAACATAAATGTTAAATTAGATTTAAAAAAAGATATCAAAATTTAATATTAACTTTTATATATTAATTTTAATATTAATTTTTACTTATAAAACAGTTTTTTCTGCGAATGAAAATAGTGCCCTAAAAAAGACTCGCATTCAAAAAGTAACCTCATGTAAAAAAAAAAAAAAAAAAAAGAAAAAAAGAAAAAAAAAGTATTTAGAAAAACTCAAAGGGAATATTTTCAGTGAAAAAATAAAATTTCATGGAAAAGCTCTGCATGAAATTATTTTTCTCAAAATATGTACTTTTGTTTCAGGAAAAAAATACAGCATACAACTATGGAACAACATGAAGTGAATTGCCTCTTTTCCTTTGAATTGAAACCGTTTTTATGAAAAGTACGGTACCTTGTTCTGGTGATTTACTGTAGTTCTCCGTTTCATCCACTTGATTTGTCAGTTTATAATAATCTTCAGCTTTCAGAACGAGCAACCGTAGCATGTGTGTTCATGAACAAGTGAGATGTGGTCCAGAATTGTGCTTTTGGAAATGAAACATCTTCATCTTCCTCTTGTAGGATCAGACTTCCAGTGTAACACTCACATCATCCCAGTGAAGAACCAGGAAGGAGTTGTGATGATGTTCATCCTGAACTTCGATTATGTTCTAGACGAGGAGAGCACGGACTCCATGGAGAGACTGGACATCACCCCGCCTGCCAAATCTGAAATCAGTGAGTACAAACACTTCTCATTAGTAGTATCATTTATCTTTGCCAGATCGGTTCAGATTTAGCAGATATTTCTGCAAATATTTTTTCCTCCAGAAGCATTTTTAAAAACCATTCAATGAAGACTTCCAAACCATGATGTGTGTGTGTGTGTGTGAAGTCACATAAATAAGAGTCTTATAATTAAGAATTCTCATTTCTCATTGCATTTATTTGATCAAAAATACAGTAATATTGTGAAATATTATTACAATCTAAAATAACTGTTTTCAAATGTAATTTATTCCAGCGATATTTTCCTCATCATTACTCCTGTCTTCAGTGTCACATGATCCTTCAGAAATCACTCTAATATGATGATTTGAAGATCAAGACTTAAAGATAAATATAAAGACTGAATGTTGAAAACTACATAATATGGAAACAGTGATGCATGTTTTCTTTGGTGAACAGAAAGTTCAAAAGAACAACATTTATTAATATTCCTATTTTATCTCCCTGCTGTTGTGCGCTCTGAGAAAGGTTTTGTTTGCTAATGCAACGAATAGGCCTACAAATCCGAAACTTTTCCAATAGAGGGAATGCATTGACGTCACTTTCCTGCCGTAACAACCCCCCTCAGCCTGACTGAGTGGCTAAAGATCTACTGTGTGACTGGATTTAATAGGGGAAACTGCGAAAATGCGACTAAAACGAACAATTTTATCAATTCAAACTAAATGTTGGACTCAATATTGTGTTCCTTACAACTTACTAAAGATCCAGTGATCCATGGATATTGACGTGCAGCCAGGAATCGTGTCGCCTGACATTTATGTTTGCCTGATTTCGACACCGGGGAAATAAAAGCAATTTAGACCTAAACATAAAGCAAATTTGCCTGTGAACGCTTTATAGAAATACAATATAGGTAGGTCTAAATCCGGGTGATCACTTATGACAGTGTTATATATAGCCTATATATCATCATATCGTCCAGCCATTAAACTTTGTCGTTTTTTTTTAAAAAAAACATCCATAATGCAGAATATGCAATGATAGATTTTTAATTGATGAGTTGTTAATATATATATAACAATACAAAATATATGTGTATGGTTTTACAGCTAAATTCAGCATATTGACACAAAATGAAAACTGCAAATCCACCTTTCGCTGACTGGAGTCCAGTTGTTTCTGTGAATTGCAGCGATCCATTTGCTCCTCTTTCTATAGCAGTCTGTAAAAATATACCTCCGATTTTTTGTCAAATCTAGTTGTCGCAGTCAATCGCAAAGCTTTTTCACACTTTATATGTGTTGTGTTTGTTTTCCGCGGCATTCACGCTCAAAACATATACAGCCGCTTAGTCTTTTTGCCATTCACTATGATGCAGGCCGACGGTGACGTCACGCGCACACCCTCTATAAGCGTCACTAATTTACTATTTATGTATTCTGTGGCTAGCTATTTTTATTGTTTTTATTATTTATTTATTTTTTATTTAAATGGAATAATTGTAATGCATATGTATGGTGTGTGTGTGTGTATGTCCATATTTTTTGTTGTTTTTTTTTTTTTATGCTTATATTTTATGATATGAGAAATGTGTTAACCTTTCTAATTTCTGTTTGGTGTTTGAATGCATCTGACTAATTTTTGTAATTTACAATAAAAAAAAATTAAAAAAAAATATTAAAAAACTAACCATCTTTGATGGACGCAATTAAAAATCATGCAGGAATCACTTTGCGAGTGACTTCCTAGTGACTCGTTCTCAAGCGCACCTCCGCTGTGCTAAACCAGCCAGTGTAATCAGTGGTTCAGACCAGTGCCTGAGCGCTTTCACCGGCCGAGCGCAGTGGGTGTTCCTCAACAGAGCGTGTTAATTAGACAGGAGGCTCTTGCTGAGACTCTCAGAAGCAGGTGGGATGTTGGCTTCGTCTCTTCTCGCATCACACGAGGGATGCTTTCGTAACTGGCTTCATATCAAGGATTTAACACGCTTATAAGCACGAAAGCGGCTTTAGTCAAAACAACATGGGCTTCTTTTTGTCATCAGGTGACATGATTCTGTCGGGATTTGAATGACACGTAAAGTGACCAATCACAGTTTAGTTGTGTTTTTGAATGTTGATTAGTAGCTGGTCTGATCTGTAATAGACACAGAAAAACAGAAAATAGACTGAAAATAATTCTGATCATAATTACGATCCATCAAAAAAAAAAAAAAGCATAATGTACCGTTCATGTATATCTAGTAGAGCCAGACCGATATATCGGCCGATATTAGGCATTTTCCAAAATATCGGTATCGGTATCGTCATAATGGCCGATAAATGAATATTTAAAAAATAAAATAAAAATGGACGAAACACGCTTCAATCATCTCTCCTTGGCCTGTTATATTGAAAATGTATGTTTTACAATTTTCAGTATGACGTTATCTATTGCTAAATTATGGCTCATCATAGACTAGCTAACCACAAAGCTAGCTAATGCCACTATCATCAGTGGAAGACCGCTAACGTTAACATTAATGAGCTTGGAAACCACAATGAACTTTTTCTGCCTAAATAAAGTAACGATTACTGTATTTATAACTAGCATATCTCTAGTTACAGTCCCTGCAATGTAAAATGTAAGTTAGACTTGCGAGGAGTGAACATTTCGACATAGACAAAAAGTATCAAACGTATCTTGTGCAGAAAAGTTAGCTTTTCTTTTACACGTGTGTGAAATCCAACAATATTTAATAATAAAAAAAAATATCGGCCGATATATCGGAATGTCGGATTCAAAAGGATGATTAAAACATTGAAACAGCATTTCATTCAGTAACATTATGGTGCGTTCACACCGGACGCGAATAGCGCGTCAAATTACCGCGTCTTGTTTGACGCTTCACCACTTTATGTTAATTCGCGCGCCAAGAGTAAAACTGACGCGCGTAAAAACAAAAGTTTGCAGCAAAAGTTACGCACGCCAGAATCGAAACCTGTTGGCGGCCATCTTTTTTATATTGATCGAGCATTCATCGAGAGAGTCACCGCTCTGTATTTGCTCTGGAGAGCAGAACAGCGGCGTGGGGATCATCGTCGCCGTATTTGTATTTGCAAACCGTTTGGCGAGTTTCACCATTTGCTCGCTCCAGGAGCTGCGCTGGATGACGGCCGCTGTCAGCCGTACTTCCGCCTGTCCCGCGCCCAGTTTGATGACCTGTTGTCCCGCATCGGATCACCCTCGCCCTCATCCACCTAATCTGTCGTTTATTTTTGTTTTGATGATAAATAGAGCCAGCCTCCAAAAGTGATTTTTCTTCTCTTTCACGTCCAGACACGAACTAATGCACATGTTTGTTAGTTGTCTTTACATTATAATAATATTTCATATAATCTAGATATGGAATAAATAACATTCAATACAAAATGAAAGAATTCGCGTCAAACGCACAAATGGCACTAGCTAAATCATTCGCGCTTCACACGCCAGACGCTCAATTCGCACCATTCGCGCAAACGAGGCGTATTCGTGCCTACTGCGCTCTACGCCTCATTCGCGCCGCAGGAATTTTTTGAGCACGTAACGCGTCTTTGCATTGACTCATCATTGAAATCACTCGTGCTATTCGCGTCCGGTGTAAACGCACCATTAGGCAGTTTTGATTTATATGCTGTTTAATGTTTGATGATCACATTATTTTACATTGGCATGTGTTTATACAGTATGATATTGCTTGTTTCTGTTGTTTTGATCAGGAGATTCTGTATTCCTTAAGAAGATGTGTTGTAGCGCCCCCTACCGTGTAACAGTGAAAACACAGAAATCCGGCAATTTCCGTCAACGACGGGGAAGCGTTTTCTCATAAACTTTGGAAATTTCCATCAATGGCAGGAAAAGAGTTAAAATTATTCTAATTTTAAACAAAAATTGTGTTTTTAAAAAGTATGCTTTAAAACCGTGTCTACGCGGGACGTGACAAAGCGACCATTGCAAATATATTTGCTCTTCATGTCTGGAGCAAGCGTGCCGCACAAGCCCACAAAAGTGAAGCCAAAACGTCTCGATCGCCCCCCGGTGGCCGGTCCTAGTATAGGTCATAACCCCCACCTCCCCATGTTATTCAACAGGACGTGAGACCACTAAACAATTAAAATACACTTCACATATCCTTTTTCCAAAGATAGTTTCTGTCATTTAGTGTAGTTTATGTAATTTCAAATGTTTGTTTTTAACATAAGTTAGTATTTAGTTAGTTATTTGATGCTTTAAACACGGTGCTGTGACGTCATGATTGACAGCTGTGATTGACAGGTTGTCTGTGAGAAGTAGTCACTGCTGAAGTTTTTTTCATAATGTTGACTATGTGGTTAGTAGTTGTATTTACCTTATTTTAACGAGGTACTGAAATCAGCGGACATCATTGGAGACAAAGGCCACTTAAGAAATGTGCGGGGCTTGCAAAAGATTCAGCGAGAGTGAGGGCGCGGCCTTGATTTCGCGGCTTTACTTCCTGCTCACGACTGCGCATGTCTGGTCCCGAAAACGCAAAGTGCGCAGACTCAGCGCCATATCGGGACATTGGCGGCTTCAGTTCTCTCCGATGGAAAAGATCATATCAGAAATTGAATGGTAACGGTTTACAGTCGTGATTTGGTCTGTCGCATCATCCAGTGTAGACAGCATCACTGATTATAATGGGTTTTGAACTGGCTGATTTAAACCATGGTCTCCATGTTGGGCGATGGTGTCCGTGGAGATCGTGTGGTCGTTTAAACATCTCTAGAAATATTCACTTAGCAAACGCGCTGCTCTAGGTGGAGGATATTTATAGTGGAGAATGTTGCCAAGTGTTTGCAGAGTGTGTGTTTTTCTGCCTGTGGGTGTCACGAAAAGTCAACAAGGACTCACTGCTGAACCTTGGTTGTACTGTAGGTGTTATAATAAGCCCCAAACCTAATGTAGCACCTACTGTAAGTGTGTGACTGAGTCGGGGCTTACACACACCACAGATATGTGCATGT